CATACAAAAAATAATTGGTGGTGTCACATTTTTAAAGTGTTATTAGGAAAACATTTTGGATATTCCTTCGGTTTGCTCTTTTAAATAAGTTAGAACTTACCTGATGACAGGGTAGTTATCAGGTAACTATAACCAATGGGCTAATGGGCTACAGACATAAAAGATGTTGCATTAGTGGTTGCTATAGCGATTCTCTCCATTTCTGGTGGGAATGAGTAACCCACAACATCACTCTCTTCATCCAACAGAAAAAAAAACAAAAAAACAACACACACAAACAAGATCTTAAGACTCCACCAGAGACACACTATAAATAATATTGCATAAAAATTGGTTTCTTCATGAATATACTTTCTTTTTTTTTTTTTTTTAGTTGTGGCACCTTGCAGTAAAACCAGCACTTAGTTTAAACTTTTATAGGCTTTTAACAGGCTTCTGCAGAAGCTACCGAGACAATCCATTCCCTGGAATTGGTTGTGTTGAAGCAGCTTTGTATCCTGAGGGCAAATATTGTGAAACAATCTGAACTGTGTGCCATTCCATCCGTCCTATGCATGCTAAATATAGAAATAAAAAAAGTTATGTTTATGAGGTTTTTAGAAAATCAAAGTGAGCGTGCATATAATACAAAATGTCAAAAGTTTTATCTGTAAATCTATGTTATGGTGTCTTGATAAAACATATAGTGATTTAAAACAACCAAAAACGGTCATTAAAAGCTTCAGTCTGAAAATTTTAGAGGGACTTGGGTTACATTGCCAACAGTAGTCATAATGAAAACCATCAGTCCAGTCCTGTTTTCAGCTTCCTTTAATTAGTTATGTTCAAAAGATGACAATAAAATATTAACTTTTATTTGAAAAAAAAAAAAAAGATTATTGTTTTATGTTGTGCGGGAAATAAGACTTTTGAAGGGGTTAATCTTGAAAACAAAAAACTTAATTTGTTTCTTGCCTTTTTCTAATCAAAATTTAAAAGTATGGCTTTTAAAAGTTTCATTGTTGTAGCTTAATTGGAGCTGAAAAGTTATCCGAGACTGACCTCTGACCCTCTGTCTTTTGGATATCAAATAATAATTCTTAAATATTACTTGACTGGCTTTGGTAAATATTATTTCCTATACTGCATGTTGTTAATGGTTACAGTGGTTTGACACAGACTGTTAAACTACAAACAGCTGTTACATTTTATTTTGAAAAAGCTCTTTTAGACAAAATAGAAGCAGACAATGATATTTAATTAAAGTTACTGACGTCTATGCTGGTAGCAATAAAAAAAACAAAAAAACAAAGCAATTGTGGTTGTAAAAAAAGGATTAGCCAGACAACGAGATGTCAGAAAGTCTATCTAGGTTATTGTTCATTGTCTGATGAGATGGTGTGGATAAAATGAGACATCAGGTTTTCCTTTAACTGTCATTTAAATCCTTATTTTATACAATCTTTTGTTGTGGTTTAAAAAGGACTCTGTCTTCTGTTTTGGTTACATTAAGTGCTTAAGTGAAGATTGTTGGATTTTCTGACATTTAAAAACTCATTTTAACTCATGAAGTTCCTCTTTACAAAATGTAGTAATTGTGTAGGAGATAATTTTTGTAGTTAGCTTTCTATTTTAACATTGATTATTGGTATAGTAACCGGTATCTTGAGAACAAAAGCCTGAGCTTTTGGAGTGCCGTATATAAATCACAGATGTTCAAAATATCCAAACTATAACCAACTTTCTTTTTGAACAAGTCAGCATTAGCACTGCAGCTCAGCTGGCTGCTGTACACAGACAAGCATCAGTTCAAAGCTTTGGTAAGGCATTATTTAAAAAGTTGTATAATTATTCATTTGTTGAATTTTTGCTATTAATGAAAGCCCAAAATAACAACAAAAATTTCATTTGAAACTAAATCTCTTGTTTTATTTCAAAGCTAATGTAAGCACTCCTGCTACTCAAAGTTACAGCAGCATTAGTTTAAAGCTTGAATGAGTAATTTCCCAAACATTGCTTAATGATCCATGTTTTTTTTTCAGTAATGAAGAAGACCCCCCCAAAAAAGACATGCTTATTTGAAACTAAATCTCTGCTTGACCAAGCTATAATGTTAGGACCACAGCGCTACTACAGGAATTTCAAAAAGTAACAGTTCAAAACTCGTGGAAGCCGTTCTTTTTTTTTAGTTTTGAGATGCTTTTGGATCCATTTGGCTTTTTTTGTTGTTAAGATGGAATAACAATAATAACAGTTGAAGCTAAATCTCTCTTGTTCCTGTTCATATCCAGTGTTCGCACTGCAGCACAGGAAGTTTGAAATGCACAAGTTTAAACTGCCATGAAGTGTTTCTTCAAACATGGACATTTTTTGCCATTTACCGATCATTTAGAGAGATAACTGTTCTAGTTCGTGTGTTTAATAATACTTAGGTTGTAAAATCTATGCTGTAACATGAATTTATCTCATGACCACAGTTATAAAAATGCTCCAGCATGTCAAGCACATGAAGAAGTATGACAATAGCTTTCTACTTGGCTAGCTACAGGCTTTGTGTAAGGATGTTTTTACACCAGGTCTATTTAGAGAGAAGATCAGATCTGAATTTGACCACAGCACCTCTTGGAAAACTTTTCCCATGTGCCTGATGGAGGCATCTGTCAGCGTTGTTCGTGTACGGAGGCGTGGTGGTGGCCGTTTGGAAAACACGCCCAGTCTCTTCTGATGTCAACAAATCGCAGGAGGCAGAGTTGAAGTTCATGTGAAGTTCATGAAAGGTCAAAAGGATTTGTCATGTGGGCTTCTGCTCCTGAAAGCTCAGCTTTGTTAGGGCTGTGGCTGTAATAACTCACCTATTAATGTTTGAATTGCTCTACTTTATATTTTCCGCACTTATCTCTTTTTGTGAGTTTTGTATCCATCTTTTTATTTGCTGCTGTTCACTGCCTCACTGGGGGTCAAATTAATAAGCTGTCATTCCAGTATTTCAGAGACTTCTATCCTTTTTTTGTATAACGTCTGGCTAAAAATATTGCAGCACATCGTTTTCTTTGATTACATCTTGTTCTGTTTTGCCTTTCAGTTGAAATCATAAACTTAAACAGGATATTTTCATCATAAATGCCACTTAGTGCAAGTGAAAGCATGCCAGTGAGCTGGAGGTTTACTACCAGCACATTGTACTTCCAGAGGACTCAGAGGCAGTTACTTGTGTGTAAACACGCATAAGTTCACATCCTGAGTCTGGAGATAATATCAGCATAAAGATAGGTTGGAAATCATCCAATGGGAATGAGGCTGTCTCAAAATGTGTGGCCAAAAAATCCGATCACGCAGTGTTATGTTCAAAAATATCATAAAAGAAGATTTGACTTTTAATTTGCTTATTTTGTAATGAAGCTGTTCTAAATGTAGATGTCTAGATTTTGTATTCACTACAACACTTAACATTTTCATCAAATCTTAAATTAACCACTAAATAGTTCATAACATAATTATGCATTAAAGAAAAACAAAGCAAAAACTGAAAAACTATATGTGAAAACTAAGTTGCTTTCTTGGATTTTCAGTAAGGAAATAATCGGTCAGTTCAGTTCAAACAATATGTACTAAGTGACTGATTGTGACCTACTCTAAAAAAATAATTTAGATAGTTGCCTTGGTCTGGAGCACACAGGAGTGGGTTAACTGAGTACTTGGACAGAAATACCAATGACCTTATAGAGGCCACTGTGGCTACCCATCAATCAGGGAAGGGTCATAATCTCATAAGAAATCAGCAATAAAAATTATATTCAGGTCAAAAATATAAAAAAAAACCTGTCAATATTCTCAAAAGTGGACTTCCTAGGAAATGTACCTTTAAAACAAAACGAGGGCTCCGTCTGAGACTCTACAGCTTTCGTTTTCATAGTAACTTTTTAAGATCATGACCAGACCAGAAAATGATTGAACGAGTCCAAAACCACCTCAAGTGAGAGCCAAAGCCTTTTTTTTTTTTTACAAAATTAAATTTATTTAAAATGTTTTATCTTCCGTCAACCTTTTCTAATGTGATTCTTCAAAATACACATTAAAAACGTGGATGGCAGCTCTGTTAGTTGACCATGGACTCCTCTGTCCAATCTGATACCTGAAACTTGGCCTGAACTGATTTACAGCAGAGTAGTGATCCAAAACTAAGCAGCCAATCCTCAAATGAATGAAATAATGAAAATAAATTCTGATTAAATTGTTTAAAATTGTTAGACTGCAGGTTTCACACTAAGGTCTTGGTTCTAAACAATTTTGCTTCTTTTCCTAATCTCTTTAACTTTACATTTTTTTTCCTCCAATCACCTAACTGTCTTCCTTAATTTGGTTAATGAAATGATGAGCCTATCAGTAAACATAACTTCTGATTTAAAGTTGAAGAGAACAAGGATTTTAGAGCTTTGACTTTTAAGTTTGGTTTTGAAAAGGGAGCGGAGACACGTTGGCACTGGATGTTCAAAGGAAAGGACGTGTGTAAGTGTGTTCACTACGGAGGCCTGAGCAGGTCTGAATGTGCGCCTCCGGTGGAGACGTGTGATGTAAATTACGTGAATGAGCGCACGGTAGTGGCGGACAGAAGGGGTTTAAGTGTATGGGGCACAAATTCCTCTCGCTGTGAGTGTTTGCTGCATGCCGGTGTTGACACGCTCGTGTGTGTGTGTGTGTGTGTGTGTGTGTGTGCCTCGTGTGTTTGTGTGAGGACAGTGGCCGTGTCACCTTAGATTAAGCCTGGATGCAGGGCTGGCGATGGTGACGATGTTGGTGGTGGAGCAGAGCGACTCCCCCCGTGCCCACCAACTGCGGCACAGTCATTCACCGGGGGGGTGAAGAATCCTGTCTCTGTGGCAACCGTGGCGGCGCTGCCAAGGCGGCCACAAAGAAAAAGTGAAAAGAGGGGAAAGAAAAGGGTGAGAGGAAGAGGAGAGAGGGTGGTGGGTGTGTCAGTTCCGAGAGAGGAGGAAGAGAATCTGTTTCTTTTTTTTTTTCAGGGTAAAGGCTACAGACTTGCACAGTTTCTCATAAAAATGATAAGGGATTCAGCTGAAAATAGAAATGAAACCAAATAAGACTGAGGTCATCTGTTCTCCATGGTTTTCCCTCACCTTTTTCCCTGTGACTACATCGTTGTGAGGTCGGGCTTTTGAACTGGAGTCCCAGCTGGTGGTTGTCTGAAACCGTTACTCCACTTGACTTGATAAAACTCTGAAGTCTGTTTCACTGTTGGGTTCCTGTAAATAAAAGATTCATAAAACAGGAGCACACTCTCTCTCTCCCTCACTGACAACAGCTTTGGTTTGAACTGAGAACGGTGAGAGTTTTAAGATGAAGCATTTCTTCATTCCAAGCAGACACTGTCTTGTAATCTGTTCACGCGGTTTTGATCCCTATGAGTAAAAGAGCATCGAAAGTCTTTAGAAAAACTCTTTGAATACCTTTGGAAAGCCATGATGAATATTTATCAATATTACTTCAAAATATTGCGAGAGAATGGAAAAGAAATGTGAAGAAAAATTAATACTTTAAATTTGCATTGTCACTTATAAAAATGTTTTTCTTACATATTTGTTAAACTGTCACTACATTATGACAGTGTAATTTGAGACAGAAAATCTGAGAAAACATCAATCTCCTCCCTGAGCTACTACTGTCGCCTGAAGAAATGTGCCGTTCCTGACCAAAAACAACCAATCAGAGTCAGGAGGAGGGTCTTGGCGCTGTCAATCATCTTCATGTTCACACCCGGGATTGTGGTTTTCCAGTCTGTTACAACCGACCTTTACAGGAAAAGCGTTTATCAGTCATCATTGGTGGCTATGCTTAAGCGTAGCAGAGAAAAGGGAAGGGAGGAATGAACAGTTCCACATGGAGGTTGATTGACAGCACTAAGACCCGCCTCCTGGCTCTGATTGGTTGTTCCTGGGAGAAGGCAAACAAGCTGTTTGTGTGAAACTGAATTAGACTTTATTGACTATTTTTTCTTCTGTGACTGTCAAAGAACAGATGTAGAGCTCTCTATGTGTGTCACCACGACAAACAAAGTATCAGGAAAGGGAGGTTTGCATCAACCTAATGGAGCTCTTCAAATGTGAAACTGAACCATGATGATTTAATTTACCACACTGTGTACCTGCTGGGGGGGAAATCAGCTGTTGAAATAAGAAATTGAAATGTTTCTCTTTGAAAGGTGGCCCACACTGCGACTCTGAGAAGTAGGTTAGTGAAAAACAAAAAGAGGAAGACGTGTCTCCTGCTGGGCTGGTCTCAAAAAATGCCACCTTTCCCTTTTTAACCTCACTGAGATGACAGTGATGGATAAGACGGGTGAAGTAATGACCTCAAGAACTAGCTGGCACAATCTAAATTACAAAAAGTTATTTACCTGCAGAGACACATACCTTACATGCAAAAAGCTTTCCTCTTTTCTCATTTCTTCTGGAGCATAGCCTTATCTCCATGTTTAGCATGTTCCTACCTGAGGTTGAGATAACTAATTTTAAACTGTAAATATTGTCTCTGACATTGTTTTTGTTTATGTAGAAGCTCATCAGAAGCAATTATTTTTTTTGGAATACCTCATCCACAGTGATTGGTTTCTGTGCTAAACCTTGGCACCAACATTTGGGCCTCTTGGAGACCATTGCTAGATGAAGATGTTTAAAGCTTCCCTTTAAGTCTATGTCAGTGTACCAAAACAGCTGAACTAATATATGTTTTTAACTGTGAGGTCTTACCCTTATAAATCATAATAAAATGGAATAGAAAACTCCTATTTTCATCACTGTTTATGTAAGATAAACAAAAAGATCAGATATCCCAATGTATGATTGTATGTAATGTACACCAGTCCTCAACAGAAAATCAGAATACAACATGGGGTCGATTAAATATTTACTTGATGACTCCGTTTTTAGCGACACATTGAGATGACTCCAATTTGGCTCTCTGGCTATAGAAAACCAAATCCATCCTTGTGTTTTTTTTCTTCCTTTAAATACCTCTAAATCTGACACCATGGCCCTGAACCAGAAAAGAGTAGTGTACCTTCTCCTGCCCAAGTGGACGAGTGAAAGCAACTTGGAGTCTTCTTCACAAAGGAGGGAAAAATTGTGCGGGAGATTGACGGGTAGACTGGTGGTGCGTCCGTAGTGATGTGGGCGATGTACCGATCTGTTGTAGTGAAGAGAGAGCTGAGTCAAAAGGTGAAATTCTCAATTTGCTGGTTGAGCTACCGTTCCTACTCTCATTTATGGTCAAGAGATCTGGGTATAGTGACTGGAAAAAACTGGACAATATGGCTGAAAGATGTGTCCCGATATGTGTTTCATTTCAGTCGATATCGATAATTGTTGATTAGTATTTTGCTGTACTTCTTTTTCTCCTCTCATTGTCTCCTGGTTTCATCAGATGTAAACCACTTTGTGTTTGAATTGAAACATGCGCTACAAATGTAGATGGTGTTTTACGGATTGGAGTAAATATGTTTGTGAGAACACACTGGGTTGTGTCCGCAGGTCATTCTGAATGAGGCGTGAGATTTGGGGAGGTACTTTGACCACACAGCCTTGACGCTTGGACAGGAAAAATGTGCACTAACTTTTTGTTGAATATATGAGTGTGTGTAGAGGGAAGAGGGTGTGTAAGGAACTGGTGGCCGGCTTTGCGTCAGCAGGGTGTGGTGTGATAACAGACAGCTTCTCTCTCTGTCTGAGAGCTTTTTGCCTGCCAGATGGAGACACACCCAGTTTAGCTCCTCACATTCACCGTCTGTGTTTGTGGTTCTGTTGTTGTTTTTTTATTGTTGTTTCTGACCCAACATTCAGGCGACCGCAAGGCAAGAATATGTTACTGCATGGCACAGCTTTTGTTTTTCTGGCGACTGAATTTTAGAAACAAACTTAAAGGACGAGAGATCCCTGGAGACGGGCCGTGTTTGGCTCAATTCCAGTTTACAGCATCTGTTGGTCATTTAAAAAAAAAGCAATCAGTGAAGCAAAAAATTCATAAGAGACCAAATAATCTGAGCTGCAATAACAGAAAAGTCTTAATGATCATTGGATGCATATCCAGGAATTGACTTCAGTGGAAATCAATTGAATTTTTTGCTGTAATTTTTAGCAAAGTCCAGTCATCAGTCAGACTCTGGGCCAAATTAATCTAAACTTTAAATTAAATTGAGGGAGTTCAGTTGGCAATTTATTGCCAAATATGAAAAATTTCTCTATGTAGGGAAGCCAAGATGACTCCACTGAGTCATTGACTTTGAAACAATTCCTCGTTCTGAGCAAGCATTTGGTGAGAGTGGAAAGGAACTACTCACATTAAACAATAGAAACCTCAGCAGATTCAGGCTCACTATTTATTTTGTACCTGCAATGATTGCAAATAATGCATAAATTGAGATTATGGTAAAAATGGGAAAGTGGTAACATGTGGTTATTAGTCTTTAAGCAGCCTATGCCTATAGCAGCTAAGCCACAGTCACTTTAAGCCTAGTGTTAAGTTTAGAACGGGTGTATGTCTCAGGGAGAAAAACACACCGAGGAGTCTTTTTAAGAAAGACTGAGGACAAAGTCAACAGTACTGTGTGTGAAAAACAAAGCACATCCTTACTGATTGAGGAGAATTAAGAGGGTAAGTAGCAGCAGGTGCTGATCAAGTGTACTGATGAACTGATCGCCTGCGAGTAGAAAAGTCATTAGGAAATGATCCTAAGGATGCAACCTTGCAAGAAAGTGTTGCAAGTCTGTAAATTTACAGATAATTCTTCCCAGGTGTTGTCTCAGCAGGTTCATCTTGAGGTGAACCCCTGCAGTACTCCAAGGCATTGCAAAATCTCA